TTTTCCTCGTTGCAAAAAATTGTTTTTTATTCAAAAACAAACGGCTCTACCAGTTTCGGTCACGGTCTGCGACCCTATTTCATGAGCAAGAAAAAGTACAAAAAATCAGCAAAATTTAAAAACCACATTTTAACATAAAAATAAAAATCTTAAAACTAACAAATTCAAGTACCAACCAATTTTTTGCAACGAGGAAAAGCCCGAATCTTCATTTCCATGATCATCTCCTCGAGTGTCAACTTCTTCAAACACTATAATATTAATTAAGTTTGAATGTTTTATTAACAAATTTTCAATTCATATTTCATTAAATCTTCTCCTGTTGCATTTCTTCGTCTCATATTGTCTGCTTCAATTTTTTTATAGAATTTTTTATAGAATTTTTTATAGAAAATAAATATTATCACCTCACTTTAACCTTGTTTTGGCCTGTAGCTAAATTTATTTTGTTGTTTGAGGTTTTTCCAACTTGAAGGTCGTACAACCGCGCTTTTAAATTCCTGCATGTCGTGTTTTTCTAAGGAAATCAACCATATTTTGAAAAACGATTTGGAGGAAAAAGTGGACATACACCTTGAAAACTAAATGTACACTCTCCTTATCAGTCATATAACAACGTAATTTACTGCACGAAAAACTTCAAATCAGCCTTGAAATGCAGCCCCTCTCTGTATATTATGAAGAACAAAACGAATCGCTCCACGTCAGCCTGAAATTTTTATCAACTTCCTCTCTTGCAATTAGTGCGTTAACGTTTCACGTGAACTGGACGATTTATTCTTATTATCAGTGACATTTTTCAAGAGGTCAACGGTGCATAATTAAAGGTGCGACGGAGACTTGAAGCGCATCTGCAAGTCTGCATGTTTAATTGGATGTGTCGCAATCCGAGGGGGTTGCGTAACGCAAACAGGACGGGTGTGGTAATTGCGTCTCGAGAGCGGTTGCCAAATAAATATGCTGCCAAAACGAGCCACCCCCCTCGAGGATGTTGAATTGAAAAAAACCTCCCCCCGCGAGTATCGGCACGTGACAGTGGGAGAGTGAGATGGGGTCCGTTAAATGCTTTAATATGCACGCCCGACTGAGCGCCGATCAAAGAGCCAAACGCACCCCTCCGCACAGGCATTTCAACACACTCACCCCCGGCGCGGCAAAAAAGTACGACCGCAGAAATTCCGCTACAGCACTGATTAGCCGCCGATTATTGCGTCATTAGCGCCGCGTCCCTCGGGAAACTGGCACTTGTTTCTCTCCTTCTAATGAATACTTGTTTCATCCAATACATTCCTTTTGATTTGAATAAGCATAAATAATAATTAAGTTAATTAATTAATATTTATTTAATAAAATTGTTCTCGTTCTCTTTTAAATACTACACACATTTCGCAGTAAAAATCACAAAATTATAAATCAAAACCATTTTGATAAGGAAAGGGTTATTTTATAAAGTTTCAAACTATTTTAAATCTTGCTACAGTTTGAAGATAATTTTTTTCTTATTACTATTGAATAATTCCACGTCGCTAGCACTGTATTTATTTTGAACCGAGAATTTTTTGGCATCTACTGGAAATTGGAAAATCGGTAAAAGAATCTAAAAAAAAAACTAGCATTTTAACCTATTCTCAACGTTTATCAAGACTAGACCTATTTATATTTTATTTGAAAAAGAAAAAACGGGAAACCGTATATAGCTTGAAATAGATTGTGGAAAACCGTTGTTGGCAGTTTTTTCCCACACAAGTGTGATAAGAAATTAGGAAAAGCATGATTATCATTATCGTATTGGAATATAAGTGGGACGCCAATTAAAGCCCACGCCGTTCCAAATGCGATAAAAATGCAGGTGTGCGATTGTAATGTGCTCGGGGTGGATGAAGCCGGAAAAAGTTTGTTGCGAGGTAGGCAACACGCATTGCAAGAACGTAGTCCAGATTGCATAACGTTTTTAAGATCGACACAACAAGATTCAAAATCGTGCAAAGCAAATAAAAAATACATAAAATAATTGCATAGGAATCTAGTTTTTCATGGAACAAATGAAATTAATTTTTTTTCAGATGTGAATGACCGAAGACCCTGCCTGCAGTGATAGAGGATGCGTTTTGGCTCACAGAGCAGGGGAATGACGACGATTTCCCGAATGCATCCTCTTCCTGCTGTGAAAATTTCCTGATGCGCAAAAATACCACCGAGTGTGGTAACACTTTCCGGGCAACTAGTGGCGGTCAATTTTTCCCTAACTTGTATTTTTGTGGGTTGTGAAAAATAACAATAAAACAATAGAACCAGTGAAAGCTAAAAATGAAAAACACACAAAGTGGACAATAGCAGCAGCGCTTTTGAATAATTATGAATGCCCTAAACAAAAACAAAGCGACCCTTTCCTGACAATAATAAAGTTTTTTTAATTAATAAATTGAAATTTATTTTAATTTGGTGCAAACTATGGCCGATATAAATAAAGACTGCCTGATTTTATAATAATAAGAAAAAATATTTAAATTCAATTCAAAGAATATGTAAAATGTATCCCTGTGGAAAAAAAGATGATCTTTTAATTTCATTTATTCTTTTTTATTACTCCGCCACAAAAAATAATTAATAACAGTATGAGTGGGAGCTAGAAAATTAAAATTTGATGCTTCTCTATGGTTCTCAGTTGATTTGTGTTGAATTTACAATTTTGAATTTTCCGTTAAGAGTTTTTGAGTTTATTTATTTTGCTTTATAGAAATTAGAAATACATATCATAATTGATCTTGTTATCACTGCGGGCTACAGCCACAATTTCTGGGTGAATTATTTTTTAAACCAAAATCAGTTTAAAAAGTAATTAAAAAAAATAGTATCTCCTGCTATTTCAATTCAAATATTCCACTAACTAAACAGTAATTCTATGAAAGGTTTCAAATTTTTTTTAATTGCATTTAAATAATTTATAGTTTTTTTTAAAGATCCAGAGCCATCAGAGGAGGAGGTGATCATAAATTTAAAACTTGTATTATTTAAAAAAATATTATTAAAAATTTTACTCTTATAAATCTGTTGTAATATCCAATGATTTTTAGCTTTCAATAACTATTATTAAATTAATTATCTGTTTTTCTCTTCGTATATTATGTGAGGGTTGGTATAATAATGACCCATATGAAATTTCTCTCTCGGCGGGGCTCCTTGGCGCAGCGTGAGTGAAAAGAGGCACCCTCGGAGTTGTGGTGGGACGATAGGGTGATGACGTTAATAACGAGAGTACACGTCGGATAGGGTGCATATTCGAAATAAAAATAACTCGTGTGTCCTTTTCATGCAGTGGCTCAGCGGCCGGCGCTCGCTCGTCTTTCCAGCATTTCTATCGATCCAGCCGCTGCGCGACCTTCAATTGACATTGCAACCATTGCGCTGCAGCTCTCGACAATTATCACTTCGTGTGGAGTTTGCTCTCGACGGGAGCTCTATAATGCACTCTCTGCAGCCAGAAAGGGAGTAAAGCAAAACATTCAGCGTATATAAATATATATAAATAAATACACACACGTAACATGCTGCACTGGATGCGGAGAAACCAGTTTCTTATTCTGTCTAATCGCGAAATCTAATGCATAACCAGATGCCCCTCTGTCTGCGAATGCACTTTTTATATTGAAACGTGCCCGTCCACTCGTTACTATGGGCACTTTGTCTTCAACTTTAAAAACAATCATGTTAAAATGGAAAGTAACTAAATATTTTTCAGATAATTATGGGGTTTGTTTTAAATTTCACATTTCAAGCAGCTGAATTTTATAATGCACTCCCCATATTTATTTCATTTTAAGGTAAAACAGCAAATGGGGTGAAAAATCTTAATTTCAAAGTGGCTTTCAATTATTTAATAGCTTTTCAATTGATGGAAGCATCAAATATAAAGGAAAATGAAGAAAAAAAATCATTTTCACCATTTGTGTTGTATTTTGAATCGTTATAATTGTTGTAATTATATGAAAGTTTGTGCAGACTAAAAAAAGTCATCATTATCTAGTGCAATTAATACAAATTTAATGTCGTTTGAACATTGAAGTTCATGTACTGAATAACTGAACTGTTCATGACTGATTTTGATAAATATATCAGGAATAAATATTGATTATATTCGGCGAGAAGTTGATTTCTCAAATTGTACAAAACCAAATCACCGCTAGCATGAAATCTACTAAAAAAAATCCAAAAAATGAGAGATTTCGAAGTAAATAACTAAATTTTGACACTCATGGAGACGTTGGTAGAAATGAAGAAAAACAATGTTTCAACGAGGCCAAAGCCTGTTTTTCGTCACTTATCAAAAACCTTAATTTAGGGGCATTCTGGAGAAAAAAATTCATAAGATAAGTGTTGCAATTGAGGTGTTGGATTAAAATTTAATTTTTTTTATAAATTTGTTTCAAAGTTGTAAATTATTTAAAAAAAAAAAAATAGATCGTAATATATTGCTATTATTCAATTTTTTTCTACCAAATCAACACTCGAATTTATGCTTGAATACTAATGTTTTGAATTCCTCAAAAAGTAGATGCATAATAGCGAGAGCGTTTTCTCCTAGAAGCCGCTAGAGGCAATGTTTTGATAATTTTATATGAGCAAATAAAATAAAATTAATCTGCTCAATTATTGCGAATCATTATTAATCGCTAAATTTTAATAAAATTTAAAATTGAATACTACATTGAAGTAATCTGTCATAATGTGAACACAATGAAACCAATTTTCATGTTTCACAAATAGGATTCGCCTACAAAGTGACTGTATAATTATCTATCCTGTAAAATTTTGGAAATTTAATTTTGTTGGATACGACATAATTATTTATGTTTTAATGATCAGCGAATATGAAAAAAAAACTTATAAGATCTAATTCATTTGGCCAAAATGAAATATTATTATACAAATCAATAAAAATTGCATATTTTTTAAACTAAATGCAGTTTAAATGCATTAAAATATGTATTTTAAAGACTCACCTTGATATTATGGACGCATGAATCCAAGTCGACCTTGAAAATCTTGCACTGAAACAGGAATTTCATTGTTTTGGGCGTGTTTTTGATCAAATTAAATCTAGTGTAGCAGGATTATGTAAAAATGGATTATGGATAATTCTCTTCTCAAAGCTGTCAATTAGAATTAATATAATTTGACAAATCTCACACAATCATTGACAGAGGAACCCAAGCACAACCAATACCGAAACTGCACTGATTGTGATTACACTGCGCCTGGCCCTGTCTGGATCTGGAATCTGGAATGTCTGGTTGAAATCAACTGTTGGTATGAAATATAGTCACGTGACTCTGCCGAGTGCCGAATTCCTGAGAATCTTGACGGATTTTTCACCTTGGGAGACAAAACAGCGATGGGGGAATGTAAAAAGCATCAAACTAAACATCCACGCAGTGCGCACAAACATGAAATGAAATAATAAGAGATGAGACATGAAAGCAAGTATTTGAGAATGACTTTTTCCTGTCGAAAAATTTTACGCTGAAAATGTTCAAAAGATAAGAATGCGGATATTGCAGGCTACATTTGCGGTTTATTTTTTGCCAAACGTTTTTGATACATTATTAGATAACATTGGATAATTTAATATTTGAAATTTTTACAGTTTTTTTGGTCATTTTAAAACTAATCACATAGCAAACAGTGTTATGTCGAAACTACAGATCTCTCTGGCCAAAACGATTAAAAAAATAAAAATATTTAAAATTAAGTTGAGAGACGAATGTAGCTTTTCTTAGGTTTATTTTGTGCTGTGCAGGTGGTGTTTTAATCACACCATTTATTTAACACACCTCTTAAGATGTTATGGGTTTAAAAAAAAAACATTTATTATTCCCCTTAAAAAGGAAAAAAAAGACTTCCGTCTATCATACATTTGAATTAAATTTTGCTTTGTTGGTTTGTTGCTGTGTTAAGTAAAAATAAATGATGAAATGCAGTTGTTCAAATTTTTTTAGACGAAACACAGCATTTGTCTATTTTAGAAGGATAATTATATGAGATGATTTTAAAATGCACGCACTAGCCGGCATCACTATAAATATAATAAAATAATTAAAATACGTCAAAAATGTTTTCATGTGAGCTGCTCACTCACTCACTCAGTAAATAATAGTCTGGCCAAAATGAGGATAAAATAAGGTCGGTCGTTGATCTTTGTATTTTTTGTCACAGTTGTCACACATCACAATCTAAAATCTAGATGCGTCAAAGAGACAAAAACATGTTGAAATAAATATTAAACGACATTCTCACACAGGTTATAATTTGGAATTTAAATTGAGTGAATTTTTTACAAAACTAATGTGCATTGCATTTTATCTTGATAATCTTGTTTTAATTCAAGTATTTTCATTCATTCTATATTTTGTAAAAATAGAGCTTTGATAATTAGAACTTGCCATCAAATTGAAATGAAGAGTATTAAAATTAATCCTATAGCTGATGGAACATTATAATTTTTGATCAAATTTTTGGGATCGCTTTTTATTTATTTTATTTTCCCTCTAAAGAATGTAGAATTTTTTTGCAAATTTTTCATCAGAATCAAAGACAATTATTCAATTTTGGCCAATTTGCAGTTTAAAAATAATTTTGCAATCAACTTCTGTTGCTAAAAATCTTAATTCTTTCTAACTTTTGGAGAAACTAATAAAGTATTTTTTATTTCTCTATTTTGAGCAATGACTTGTTTGGATAAATAGTTCAGCAGAATTGGAAGCGGCATTTCAGCCTGTTTGCTGTTCATTAGCAAAAAATGATAAAATGCAATCCAACCCATTCTCAAGCTCTTATAACATCACTGGCATTCAATTACACATGAGCCGCGGTGTTGGCACTGCTACGGCAGCAGCCGACTGCGTTCCAATTTTGCGACACTAGCGCCATACATACTAATACCAAAAAAGTTGGATCCTTCCTTAACTCCTCTGGTAGCTCAGTTGGTAGAGCGGTGGACTGTAGAAGGACTGTGGCAGACATCCATAGGTCGCTGGTTCGAATCCGGCCCGGAGGAAACCTTTTTTCTCCTTTTCACTTATCGGATTCTATTTCTATAGCAACTCTTCAATTATGAAAAATTGTAATTTATGTTTTGCAAAAATATGATTTGGAAAGCTTGTAATAATTGCTTTCGTATCATTATATCATAAAATCTTTACAAAAACAATGAAAAATTACAAAATGATTATATTAAATTTTACTGAATTGCATCCTTCACTTCAAACTCATCATACAGTTTTGTTACTTTCAAAAGCGAGAAATTTTTGCGTTTCAAGAGAGCATTGTGGAAACGCAGAGTACATTACGCTTGCGCCTAGAGTGCAGCTATTTATTGATCCGTGTGCATCAAACTGCCTTGTCGCTTCATAAAAACCAGCTCGTCTCGCAACTCATCATCAAAACTCACTCACCAGCTTCTATTACACGGCTAAAATCAATAGTCGTTTTGCTGTTGAATTAATATTGAAAATTCTAATTCTGAAATATTTCCATTTTAAACCGTTTTTTTGTGAAAGTAAAACGATTAACAAGAAATAACGGAAAGCTTTAGTGGATCCCAATAGTATTCTTATTAATATTTCATGCTTCATTTTTAGATTTTTCGTTATTTGGGAATCATTTTTGTGTGGGCAGTTTTTGTTTAAAAGTTTTATTTTTAACTTTTCTGTTTTATTTTTATTATTTTGATAATTTTTGCTTGGGTAAAATAAAACATTTCAAAAATAAAGTGGTTAATCTGAAAATTTAAGCAGAGGCCAAATTGCAAATTGGTTTCATATATTAACGTAGCAGTTGATGGGAAAAATCAGAAGTAACTGTTCAAAGTAAGTCAAAATTCACTTTTTTTTTTAAACAAAATCATAAACCGGTGCAAAATTTGCTCAACTGAGATAAGAGCAGTGAGGTCTTCATAAAGTTTATATTTGCGGCGCGGACAAAACGCATAAATATCATATATAAGCAAAAATAAATTGCGTTGGAGGAATGACGTTTATGTGACGCAAGTTGCAAATATAATTTTTTTGCGCTGCCTGTTTTCAAACTCGCACCAACAAATAATACTTCCTGATTTCACTCAGGGTCGTCCTTGGACATGCAGATATCAGGATGCGTTCTTTTATATCGTTTCCGAGTGTCTAAATTTTTGAAAATATGGCAGCAGATTTACGAAAACGAAATAAATTATTTTTCATAATCTGCTGAATTAACAGAACATTATTTTTGGCCGTTCGCAGGCCAGCGGCCACTGAGAGCGGCCAAGTAGGCGGCGCCATGGACTCCGCCCCTGGCACCCCGAGTGGCTCACCCCTGAGCCCAGTCCACCCCTCGGGCCGCCGGCAGCCAATGTGTCGGTCCCGCCGCACTTATTGGCCAAGTCGAGCACCGTTGAAGGCCGCTCCAGAGCCAATTGTCGCGCCAGGGACAACTCGCCTAGTTTGAAATTTGATTTTTTGTTTTCAAATTTTTACATTCTCATATTTCAATTTAAATCAGCAAAAGTTTTTTTTTTCAAATTAAATGCAAGCATTATTTCTCGGTCCGAGTGCGAGAGATAAAAATAAATGCAACGCTTGAGATATTGTTGTTCATAAAAAGCTCAACTATAATACTTATTTTTATAAATATCAATTTGACTTTTTTAAATTATTTTTGATAGCCAATATTTAAAAAAATAATGATAACAATGAAGGGATGGATTAAATTTTAATTAAATAGGCGTACATTTTCAAATGATTTTTTGATTATTTTATTTTACAATTCATTCATTCAAATTATGGACATCATTTTATTTGCCACTTCTAAAGTATTACGTGCGCGGAATTTGCCCTCTTTTTATACAGCAAGAGTAGATTTATCAGACTTAAAATATTCAAATTCTAATTTTTTGAGCATCGCACTCACACGCCTGGAACTTTTGTGCTGCCCGGAGCCTTGTAGTTTTTATACTGTAATCAAATATTAGGTAGTTAATTTTCGCTCTCTCTTTTTAATATAATCTCAATCAGGTAATGATATTTAATTTTTACCTTTTTCATTATCCATTCTGCGTCTTCCACTGATCTTTTCATGATCTCCTGAATCCTTTCTGGGTCTTTCTCGTGCACATGTTGCTTAAAACTCTAAAAAAAAATGACGTAAAACACAATTTAACAGCATCCCTGTGGAAGATATAATCAAAATTTTTCCAAATATTTTATTAAATAAAAAAAATATATTAAATATATATTAATTTTGACGACGATTTCTGACCGGCCTTTAATTGAAACGGAATAATTTTTGAAGTAGAAAATAAAAAATCAAATTGCTCATCATTGATCATATTTTTACTATTTTACGTTTTAGAATTAAAATTGAAGAGAATAAAAGATGGAAATTTAAATGTAATGTAATTTGAGGAATAATCATTGCACATGCTTTTGCCGCTGAAATTTGAAGTCGGCAATAGAAAACGTGCCTGTTTGATGTAATGCTGGTAGTGTTCTTTGGGACCTTTTGGAAGGCGTTGGCATTGCCTCATGAGGTACCTGAAAAGCACCTTTGGACATGTGATACTTTGGGCGGACATTCGCACAATCTTTGGACCAACTAACGCTTGCAGGCTGGAAAAATGGGGGCACAAAAACCGAAGTACATGAAATTCGTGTGTTTACTTCACCAGCTGGGCTACTCGTACTAGGGTGCCACCTGCTTTCGCGGCAAAAAAGCAAAATGCTTGCGGATTCGGATCAAAGATCTTTGGTTCAGATACATATATTATACTTTAGATTTTTAGATTCATTTAATATTCTGACCTGAATCGATTGCATTTAGTTATTTATAAACAAACAAAAAAGGCCGAATAAAAAATTAAATTGAAAAGGTATATAACTTGTGTATAATTAATGTAATTAATAAATTTTGTTAGTCACATTTACACATTAATATTTTTTAACTTACACCTGCATTTTGTTGACAACTTTATAAAATATACAATATCTCTCATTGTCACTAACATTTTCAATAATAAATAACGACATCACAAATCTTAGCTGAACGTAAGATTGAAATTCATGCATAAAATAAAAAGGTGTGCAGCACTGATGAAACAATTATGCAACGTAAGAGAAAAGCTTAACATTTACTCATTTTGAATGAAAACCGTTGATAAAATGCTTTAGCATGTAGCCACTCTCATGAGGTAATAATCAAAATGTATAATAGTAACAAGTTTAAACAAGTGCTAAGATTTAAATAACACTACAAAGGCGACTTTGTGACTGGCGCAGCTATTCTGGAGGCTGGGAGCCAGTTGAGAGGAAGGACATCAACCTCTAAAAGAATGGTTGCACACAAAAATAGGGAGTAGAGGGAAAGGAGGTAAATGCCGTAGCTGCGTTTTGTGGTGAATCCCATCAGAGGGAAGGCGATGAGTGACGATACGAGACTCAATGCGAGAAAAAGGGCTATCAAAGGGCCAACCTCTCCGTAATGAATCTACAATTAAATTGAAGTCAATTTGAAGCAAAATAAGTTTTAGAAACTATAAAAAACTCACATAAATTTTGTTCTCTCCACTCTCTATGGTTGCCATTGTGAATGAAATCCCAATACCTAATAAAATATCTAAAAAAATTTGGTCAGGGAAAATTTCGACTAGTTTTTTTAATTTACAAAAAGATTGATTTTTCGATTTTCTTAAAAGGATACTGAACAGTGGCCCTCCAAAGCAGGCCGAAAATCCCATCCTCTCAAATCCTTGCCTGGCGATTGAAAAATTCGTGATGAAATCTGCAAATCAAAAGTGAATGTCAATTTCTGTATCATTCAATTAAGCCAATTCTCTTTACCTCCAATACTATTACCCCAAGCAAGTACAGTCATGCCGAGCATAGTGTCGCTGAGGTTGGAGAGTATACCAATAGCTCTCAGCAAGTTGACGACCTCATTTGCCACCATGTATATTGTTACCACTGATCCAGCAAATCCGAGAAATGCAAAAACCTGACAAAATTAATACAAACAAAATCAAACAAAGTGATAAAAACAGAAAACACAATTCCATCAACTTACATTATGATATCGAGGGGGTCGATCGGGCTCAGTCGAATAAAATACCCAAACTGCAGCAAAAGCTCCAATGACACCAGCGATCACCCACAACTGCAGCCACGGCCACACCAAAGACACCGTGGCAACTAAAATAAGTCTAAGTCATAAAGATTTTTTTAAAATTGTACTTTAAGTACCTTGAGTAGCAAAAAGACAAAAAAGTGGGCATGTGAAACAGTGCAGGGCATTCAGAGGACGGCACCATCCATGTTTGGGTGCGGTGTAATTGACAACTGGTACCAAAAGGGTTAACGAGAGCACAACAGGTGCCTGGAGCCAGTGCAGACATTTGCTGGGAAAACACTGGTTTGCTTCCGTAGGTCCCGTCACCTCTGATAAGCCTGCCTTGAGCTCCCTCCAGATAAGTTTTGATGAATGTTCTTTGGCTGGATAATGTGTGCCTGTAATATTTTATAAATTACATGGTTTTGAACGAGTAAATTGTGGTAAAACAACCTGACAGGAGTGGGGTTGTTTCATCAGGGCCCACTTCTGGTGAAGACATAATTTCCTCCCTCAATCCCTGACTCCAAAGGTGACTCAGTCTTTCTTGGTGGATGGCCAGCTCTGAAAATGAAAGGATAGATTTTGTAAATTTCAAAAGCACAACCCAACTATAATTACCCTGCACTGTGCTGACAGTGTGAGATCTGGTGCGCTTTGTCTGCTCCACTTTGTCTTGAGTTGGAGACTCCGGAAGACTCCTGGACGAAGCCTCAAAACTAGATTTGCTTGCGTCTGATCTGGCCTCTTCAATGTCTTGCTCCGCATCAACAATCACTAATGTTGAAAAATTTATTGAAATTTATATTTTTAAACATAATTTAACAATTTACCTATTGGAGGTTGTGACTTGATATAAAATCTTTCTGTTAGTACCACAGTAATGTAAACCAAATAAAGAATGATGAAACCTAAAAACTTACATGAGTAAAAATTCCACTTCCTTTTACAAAAATCAAACCAACTGCCTCCCAGGTGGTGACCACCCCTTTGTAAAAAATGTAAAAGGTCCAGTACACGGCGCCAAGGTAGAAAATTATATCACGAAGGAAGGACCTGTCCATGACCTTGAAGGGTCTGATGGTGATGATGGCACCCGCTATGACTGTGGTCACAAACAGACCGGACCCAATCAGTTCTCCGAAGATGAGTTCCGATCGACCTCTGGGTGCACCAGCGAGTGAGGTAAATATGTCCGGAGAGCCATTTCCAAAGGCCAGGACAGTTACACCAGCCAAACTTTCCGAGAGGCCCAAGACCTTTGCGATCACAGTTAAAGCTGGGCAAAAGCTAAAAATAATAAAATTAATGCAATTAACGTGGAAAAAATATCACACAAACTTACAAGTCGTTGGCTGATTTGCCGAGCAAGAAAAACATGAGGACAAGCCATCCTACCTAAATGTATCAAATTATTATTTTTACACTGGTTTATTTTTAATTCAGCATTACGCAAATAGCGACGCCCAGGTATCTGGAGGAAGTTGAGAAGTCGCAATACAGCAGGTACAAGTATGGCACAAAAGAACTCTCGGTAAGGCAGTCGGCCGCCTCTTGCACAAACATACATTTTTCATCTTCCGGCAGCACCTGGACATTCACACACTTCTCCTGAAAGCAAAATTTTAATTTAAGGTCGTGTTAATATTTATGTCATTCTTGGTCCATAATATTGATAGCGATATAAAAGCGCATTCAAGGTTTTTGTGTAAGAATAATGGAAGCAATTTCATATTAATTTCTTCAATATGAAAACATTTAATTTAATTTATTAAATAAATACCTACTCTTTTACAGGAAAAAATTATAAATTTGAAATAGGCGATAAAAATTAATAATATTAATAAATTTGATGAAACAATAATAGTTTTAAACGAGTAATAATTAATTTATAAAATACGATTGTTTAATATATTATAAAAACAGAAGTTTCTTTTTCAAAATTTAATAACAAGAAAATTAAATGAAGTCAGTTACTTAACACGCGCAAACAAAAATAGAATGCAAAATAAATAAAATTTGCATAACGAACCACTTTTTTTCATCCACGCTAATGGAAGGCAAATTTCACACGTGCGTTAATTTTAAATTATCGTGCGTTGTAAGAAAAAAGTTGTCAATAAATTTTGAGACAAGGTTTGTTTGCGCAACGAGTTCTAAAAATACCAATATGGTGCTTGACATTCATGGAGTGTCACAAAATTCTGCGAATTTCCTAAGACGCGCGAGCAATTTTAGCCGCTTTTGACCACAAGGTCAGCTCTACGGCGTTGACGAATTAGGTGCCGACGAGCACCTTTACAGCAAAAATGCATTCAATTAGCTCGGATTACAGCGACTTTCTGCCGAGAGTTGATGGATAGTAAAAATGTGGAAGAAATCAAAGTCGCCTTTTTTCCGTTGCGCGTCAAGTGTTAATTTATGCACCAGACCGCGGCGCAAAAGCCAACGAAGTTTGCACAAGTTGTTTTCTTGTCTATTGCAACCTGCATGATCAATGCGAGTAAATTGATCCGCCTTTCCAATGCTAATAGGTCGTAAAGTGCACGCTCAAATTACTGCTGCGAATAAGTGGAAAATTTCAAAAACTGATACGAAGAAGTGCTATCGAAACATATTAATATTTATTTTGCACAGTTAAGTCACGCAGCGATTAAAAACGATCGCGTGTCTGATAACCAGCTCAAAAAAAATTTACAAAAGTAGGTACCTAATTATCATTAAAATTCGGAGATAAAATTAAATTTTGAAATCTTACCTGCTGGAGGTCTTCCAGCGAGGGCACCTTGTAGATGGTGAAAAGCAGGTGACGCACAAGTTGCGGTGCCGTCAGGTTGCTCATGTCAACTGCGAGCAGGTCAGGGTGTCACTGGCGGCGCTCTTGCCACTCGGCCGCATCCCTCCGCTCCATACAATCCTCTCCCACCCTAGACGAGCTGCAGGCAAAGAAATTTTTTTCATAGAGACCAATTGAAAGGAAAGGAATCGTTATATTGCCAACCGTAAGAGTTCTAAAAGTATTGAACCTTAAAAATAACTGTTTGAATAGTAATTTAAATTATTATAATGAAATTCTTTTATTTAAATTCTCCCCTTCCTGATTGACTGCACCTCTTAACTCAAAAACTTGACCTTAATTTAAATATATCACAAATGTAAAATGTATTCTTGCTTGCGCATTTCCATTATTCTAATTGGGCTTAATTTCAAGTTTGATTTTAAATTTAATTTAAAAACCAATAGACTGTTATGAAAAAAATAATATGAGACAAAATAAAACAATGCTGATTATTTTAAGTCTTTAACTTCGTTCGGAACATCATTAAAATTCAAACCAGTAAATCTCAAAATTCATAATACTGACAGTGCGAGACATTTTTATATCCTCATTGAAATAAAAGTTTGAAGATTTTAAAATTTGTTAAAAAGCATGCAGAACACAATCTTATGATATAATCACTTTGCTGATTTGTTTGTCCAATTTTAATCATTGGTTTAATCAGCTTTGTTTAAGATAAAGTGTGATCCTATTAGGAATAGGAAAGTACCAACTCAGAAAATTCCACTCAAAATTATCAAGATGCTGTTTAAAAATTGGCCGTGTGCAAAAATCTGGCACTTTTGTCTTGTGTCTTATAAACCAGCAGATCAGTTAGGCTGAAGACAAAGACACGATGGTGCTCAAGTTTTTGTGCCTAGCGTTGCTGGTAGCATGGGTAGGCGCGTCGTCTTTGGAACCCTCAGGAAGGGATTACGAGCTGATGAGGGAGCTGGGACAAAACCCTAGGACAGGACCCAACCTGATTGGCCACTCGGGACCTTTCCACCAGCGACACGAACGGAGCCAGGTTTCAAGTCAATTTCTAAATTAAAATAGGGAAATAAGATTTATTAAAATAGGAATCTTCCGAGGGGTCAACCAGGGCCTTGGAAGACTACCTCTTGCCCACCGGAATACGACCTTTGCACTACACCGTGGAGCTGATTCCGTACCTCCTGGAGACCCCTGGCAGAGAGTTCACCTTTGACGGAAAGGTTGACATCAAGATCTTTGTGGAAAAACCCACTTCCAGCATTGTGTTGCACGCCTTTGACCTTTCGAATTTCCAAGTTGAAGTCACCCAGGTAAAATAATTAATATGCAATCACTAATCTTATTTTGCACCATTATTGTTGAGAAACTGTTGTGATAAGATTTTGATTTGGGTTTTTTTGGCAACAAAACGATATCAGTGGAAAACATTGATAACCATCTCAAATTTGATAGACAAACACTGGAGCAGTGCAACCGCTGATTAACTGGAGTCTGGCCACTGACGACAGGCAATTTTTTACTTTGAACCTGGCCAGTACTCTTGTTAGCGGTCAAGAATACAATATTAAAGTCAACTTCACGGGAAATCTGAATACCGACGGCTTTGGGTTTTTCCGCAGTCAATACACCGATGAAAATGGAAACACGGAGTAACAGTTAAAAAAATTTGATGACATGCAATTTCATTTATAAAAATTTTATTAGCTGGCTTGCAACCACCCAGTTCGAGTCGACGGGCGCCAGGCAGTCATTCCCTTGCTTTGACGAACCCGCGCTTAAAGCAACATTTTCCATAATTTTGGCTCAAGCCCCTGGATATACCGCAGTTGCAAATATGCCCGTCGAAACTGTCTATGACAGCCCAGAGTAATTACATAATTTGCTAAAAATTATTTTTAATGAAATATAAATTATTTAGGTTGCCAGCTGGATGGAATTTCGCCAAATTCCAGGACTCTCCAGTCATGTCCAGCTACTTGGTAGCGTACACAACATCCAAATTCGGACGACTTGAAAGCACAAAGGACAGCAGGTTTAAAGAGACGGAATTTATTAAAATTGTACATTATTTCGGTAATTTAATAGATTTGCTGTTTGGGCTCGACCTTCCGAGCTTCAGTACGGCGCGTATTCAAATGATATTTCACCTGACCACTTTAACTACTACCAGACCTACACTCAGACCAATTATGGATTGCCAAAAGTAGACCAGCTTGCCTACCAGGACTTTTTCTCCGGCGCCATGGAAAATTGGGGCCACATTTCTTATGTGTATTTAAATCACAAAAATGTGAAAATATTTGAAATATCAAATTGTATATTATTTAAACAGGGAGCGCCTGCTATTGTGGAATCCAGCAACCGGCTCTCAGGGTTCCAAGCAGCTGGTAACCCAGGTCGTCTCTCACGAACTGACGCACCAATGGTTTGGAGACATTGTCAGCCCTACTTGGTGGAACGACCTCTGGCTCAACGAGGGATTCGCCACTTACTTTGAGTTTTTTGCAACAGGAGACGTAAGAATTTGATAAAATGAAAGTTTTATTTAAAAAATATATATGTAAAAATATTTTCAGTTGAACCCCACTTGGAATATGGATCAGCAATTCCAAGTTGACAACATGTACGACGCATTTGCCGCAGACGAATTTTTCCTCACTAGCCACCCTGTGCACGCAAACGTTGACAGCCCCAACTCTATCGACTCGATATTTGACTACATGTCCTACAACAAGGGCGGCTGTCTGGTCAGGTTCATGATCAACCTGATGGGACCCGAAAACTTCCGAAGTGGAATTTTCGATTACATGAGAAACCAGTAATAATATTTAATATTTTTAAGCAGTCCAAAGGTTTTGCTCTGTGTTCACAGTTTTTTTTTACTTAAATTTCACTGATTGACTAAAGAGCCATAATAGATAGTCACCAGGTTTTTTTTTTATTCTTTTATTAAAATTGTATATTTTAAATATAGTGCCTACTCTGCTGCTCATCAAGATGATCTTTTCGCCGCCCTGGCACCTCACGTCCCTGCTGGAGTCCTTCCCAATGGCGTCACTTTTGCCCAGGTCATGAATTCGCTCACCTTGCAGGAAGGAGTGCCTGCCGTTACAGTAACTAGGGACTACGCTACCCAGACGGCCCAGGTCACGCAAAAGCGTTTCTCCATCAACGGCCCTGAACAGTGGCCGATCCCGCTGACCTTGACCTCTCAGGCCGAGCTTAACTTTGACAGCCAAACTCCAGCAAGCTGGCTTCTAACGGACTCTCAGGAGTTGGGCGCCGCCGAAGGAATCCCTCTGGACAATCAGTGGGTCCTTTTGAACATCAAGCAGACTGGTGCGGAAAAAGATTGAATCACGTTGAGAGAAAAACAATAATAATTTAATTCAAGGTTACTTCAGAGTTAACTATGACCAAGCTAACTGGGACATGCTCTTTGCGTTCCTGAACGACCCACAGACCGCAGATCTGATTGACCCTTTGAATAGAGCCCAGATTCTTGACGATTCCCTTGCCTTTGGAGTTACAGGGCTGCTGGATTATAAGACCGCCCTTTCAAGCACCCTGTACCTCCACCATGAGACGCAGTACGGACCTTGGGCTGCAGCCCTTCGCAGACTAGAGTTCATCAGGGACAGAATGTATCAAACCGCAGAGTCAAAGAGTCTTTTCAACAAGTAAACTCTATCAACGTAATGAGAATTTGCTTTATCGAGAAAAATTTCAGGTATGTGAGCGCCAAGCTGGAAAATATTTTCAACAGCGTCAATGGTCTGTACCCTGAAAGTGAGGAAAGCCACATAACTGGAGTTACTCGCACCCTTGTGTCAAGATGGGCCTGCAACACTGGCTTGGAAGCGTGCAATCATCAGGGACAGGCCCTTGCTAGGCAGTGGAAGCAAACTGATGCTCAGAACCCGTAAGAAATAAGTGCCTAAAATAAAAAGACTTGGCTTGTGAGGATTTTGTAATACAGAATTAACCCCGACATTCGCGCCACATCTTATTGCGCCGGTATGCGCCAAGGAACTCTAGACGACTACAACTTCTACATTTCCCAATACTTGAGTGCCGAAACTGCCGAAGACCGAACCCAGTTGCTTGGTGCATTGGGATGCGCTTCTGATATTGCACTTCTTGAGCAGTAAGAGTAAAAGTATATATTTTTAACTCACCTAAGGAAGACACCTTCAGCTTTTTGTATGAAATTCTGCCTACTGCTTCGTACATCAAGGAGGGTGATGCACTCGGTGTGTTCTTCTCTGTGTACAGCAACCCAATTGGCACTGATCTTGCTCTTGATTTCCTCATCCAAAACTTCGCTGTGCTGAAAAATAAGTATGAACAAAATACAATTAATCAATAATTATTATCATATCTAATTATAATTCATTATTAATTTTTCAGGATGAACATTGGTTTTGCCTTTGCAGCCATTTCCGAGAAGCTTAATACCCAAACCCACTATGAGAAGGTTGGAAATAAATCATCAAAATTTGAATGTTACCTTTAAATTTCCATTTTCTAGATCCAACTGTTCCTCGATGACCACAGGCTGGAACTGTCACAGCAGGAGCAGAACAACATCGAGGGAGCCTTATCCCAGCTGACAGCCATTCTAGAATGGAATGCTGCACATCTGGGAGAAGTCATGCTTTTCTTTGTTCAAAATCAGTTGTAATTCATGACAAAAGAATAAATTGACTTGTTAATCATAAAATGAAAATTGTAAATTAATTGGATGAAAGTGTTTAACACAAAATTTGCAAAGAACTGGCATTATTTTAATTTATTATAGGAGGTTAATTTATCCGTTTCACTAAAATACATCACGGCTTTACAGAAATCGTCTTTCTTTGAAGTAATACAAAGTCAATTTTGTGTGAATAATTATCACGGTTGCATTTTAACAACACTCAGAGCCTGCATTTCTTCTAAGCTTGGGTGCTGCATTTTTGCCGAAATGGTTTCAACAAGACGAGCGTGAACAGAGGTAGACGGAATCACATTCGGCTGGACCTGGTTAAAAAATTCATCAACATTGAAAATGAAAAAGAAAGGTTTTACCTTCAGGGCAAGGTAAAGATCAAAGAGGTTGATGGGCTGGCGTGCATTCTCCTGGCCTGGAGAGGCGGCCGCCAATTCCTGTGCAGCTTGCTGCTCGGCCTCCTCCAGTCGAGGCTTCTTTGAAGGAGGCCCTTCTTGTCTGGGCAGAAGGGGCGGAGGTCTGCTGCCAAGACCAAAAGCAAAGCGGCCGTCCCTCAAACGGTGGCCGCCTCTGAGACGCACCACAGCTTCAAGGACAGCCTTCACAATGCCCCTGGTGGCCTCGACGAGGCACAGGGCCACATCGTAACGTGCCCCTTGGAGGCCGTGGTCCCATCCGGCCACCAGCAGCCGGCCCATCATGAGGCCAAGGTCGGGCAAGTGCGCTTCAGAGTGCACGGGGGTCTGCAGGGGCAAGGGGGCTTGCGCTGCCTGAGCCCTGGCAGGCCGAGACTCTTTGACAAATGCTGCTGGCTCGACTGTCTCGAAAGGGCCCAAAGGTGGCTCTGGTGAAGAAAAGACCTTGCTGGAGGTTGTGAATGGGCTGCTCAGACGGAGACTTTCAGCAAGAGGTTGGCATTGGTTCAGCAAAGATAGCAAGAAGTGGTTGTGGAGTCGTGCCGCTTCAGGAGGAAGCAGTTTCCTTGCATAGAAATCAAAGTCCTCCTTCGACATCTGAAGATTTTTTCAGCCATTTAAATTGGTACATAAATTAACATTATAAATTCTTTGCAATATATATTATCTTTGTAACGTACTAAAAATTAAAAATAAATGTATTTTGAAAAAAAAAATTGAAATGACTTTATACAACAACAACACAACATGCCGCCGCATAATACTGATTTTTTAAATTTTCTCTATTTATTATTTCTCACCTTCATCCTGAACCATGTCTTCAAGAGAGTAAAGTATCTGTAAATAAAGTTTTATTTAAACTTAAAACTGAAAATTATACTCGAAACTGAAATAAGTTGTATTTAAAATTATGCAAAAATTAAGCAAACCTTTTTAGTAAAGGCAAAACTTACTTGTTGGAATTTTCGTCGCCTAGGATCTCAATGATTTTGGCTCGAATCAGATTCGATTCCGGAAATTCAGTGGTCATCTTTGCTTCGATCGTTTATGGCTAATTTAAAATTTAGTAGTTAATTCAACGTCCTTTTTGTGATTATTTCAGAAAATTCAGAAAACCCGGCTAATGTTTTGTTTATAATCTTTGTTTTCGACATGCTCCTTAAGAGGGCGCTGCAAAGCGAATGCGGCGCGAAAGCAAACGTACTTTTAAAAGTTGCATTCCACTACCGCTTGAATGTGGCCCGAACACCAGATAACAGTCTGTGGGCTGGAGTGAGCTGAAGTCGTAAAGCTTTTTAAAGAAATATCATGAGAGCTAAATCTTTTTCTACGTCTTGGAGAAAGTCTGTGACTAGTTGGTCAGAAAATGTTTTTCCAGGAATTTCAAGTTATAAAGGTGGTATTTTTTCTAAATAATTATATAAAAATATATAAGTTGTATTTAATTACATAATAAATTAATATTTTTAGGAGATTCTTTTGAATGTAGTCTTGTATTGCAAATGCTCTTGTATTTTGATGCAGTATTTTTCCCATTTTGGGCTGTGACGATAGGATCAGTTTACAACATCAAGGCAAGTTTCAAATTACTATTATAAACTCAATGTCTTAATCTTAAATCATGCGCCTTTAGTATGACTATCTGAGTAGCACTTACAAATTCATCAGCATAACTATGCTAGCTTCAATATTTGTTGTCCAAATTGTCCGGCTCTATCTTGGTTACTTAGGCAATTTGACTGAAAAGGTATTAAATATTTTCGACAATTTCATAAAATAATTTAAATAGGAAAAAATTAAATAATAATTAATAAAAAAATAATAATTAAATCCCATATTTTTGGATCCGAGATTCCTGAACTGGCAGCTTTTTGGATGCTTTCCGTCCTGCTTCAGTTGCCGATGGAACTTTTCCTGATACTTTCGCGAGGAATAAAATCTACACCGCCAGAGTACACAGTTAATATTATATTGTTGCTGCTGCTCGTGCTGCAGCTTCTGTCTGGTTATCAGGCGCTAACCAGGGCAGCACAGCATCATGCAGACCGCTTCCGCCAATCTCATCAATAGTGAGAATTTAAAAATCTACTTCTTTTATTTTGTATGGATATAATAAAAATGTACATGTAGTGAAAATGTCATTTTTATTGATTGAACAATCTGTCCGAGTGATAAACTTTAAATTAGTTAACAACCTCTTCATTTGAACAACTATAACACTAATTGTGGTCAGCAACAATACGTGAGACTGCACAGTGTAAAGGGAAATATAAGAAGCACAGGTTTTGATTTTTTTGCACTCGCAAAATTCAAATGAATAACAAATGAGCTTCATGCACAAAGGTGGACAAGCTTTCAATTTTCAGGCACTCCTTGCATGGCCTTATCTGCCAAAATCACATTTAGCCATATCAGCGAAAACAGCTGAGTTTTGCATTATGCACCATTTTATAAAAATACCCTGATTTCATTTGGCTACTCCTCAATTTGGCAATTATTTTAATTTTGAGCTAGATTATATAAATAGCTGCAGGTTTAAAAATATTATCCCAGCACTTACTAAGTTAATAATTTTATAACATCTAAAAATTTGATAAAATTAGACGAAATGCAACAGAAATTACTTTTCTTTAAGTTAAAATGGGTCCCGATATTAGAAATATTTAACAAAAATTAAAATGACACATTCCGAAGTGAGTTCGTAAAATTACGCACCGGCCTCCAAGTCAAGTTCATTGTCCAGGTAAAGTTGGTCAATGATGGCAATTGTTTGTTTCAGGCTGGTAACCACAGGAGCCAGGTCACGGATAACAGCTTCCTCACGACCTTCCACTCCCTTTGACATGGTCAGCACTAATTTACTTCTGTTTGGACATTTGCTACACAGGAACTGCAAAAACGTGTCTTTTAATCAAAGCTGTGAATAATTTTTCAAATTAATAGTGACTTACGCCAAAAGTTTTTCGAATGATGAAATTGTGGTATCTCTCAAGAGTGGTTTGATAGGCAACGGTCAGATGGGGTGAAACATTCTCTACCTTTTCACCATTCTCTGAGTCTTTAAGAATAGCCTCCAAAAACACTTGGAAGAAATGGAGTGCTCTAAAAATAAAAAATGGATTATAATAGGGTAAAAAATTCTTTAAATAAAAAATAACCTTTTTAACCAAAGAAGTGCATCTGTTGCAAAGATTCCTCCCTGCTGCTTTTCAGCAATAATCATATCATGAAGGGTTGAGTGATTCGAGGGACTCTTTTGATACTGCTTTGTGAGTTTCTATGATAAAAGTTTGCATTTTATTAAAAAAATATATAAAAAATTGTGCGATACAAACCGTTATGTTCCCATTCATATCCAATTTCACGACAGAGAAAATAGTGCCAAAGAGATCTATAATCATGAGTACAATTTTGAGTTATTAAATCTTTTAGAAAAATATAGCACAATTATACCAATTAGTGTGACAACCCCTTTAGCTGCCTCGAGGAATTCAAGGGTATCAATTTTGTCTTCTTTTGGCTTTGGGAATATTAGTTTGCCAGATGCAAACACAGTCTCCTCGTTTTGGCTCGACATTTTGCTGAGCGGCTTATCTCATCTTATCGCCAACCTAGGTAGCACAGCACAAAATTTGTGCATCAGATAATTCGGAGTGAACTTTTGTTGAAATTCAAAAGCTCCAATCCCAATCACATGTATTATTTCAATCGATTTATTAAAAAGGCAATGATCGCAATTTTTTAATGTTTTCTTCCAATATAAAAATCGTCACTTTAATAATAACAAACAAAATGTGTATTTTTTATATCAATCAAATAATTGATGATTTCAAATTAACACCTTAATAATGCTGTATAATTATAGAAAAAGCGGAAAAAGAAAATCCATGTATGTATGGTATTAGTTTGAAAATAAATATATATATTATGAAAGACATCTTTTTAAGGAAGCTTTCAATGGGTTTTAAAATCACACGCGTCCTTTTCCTCTCCGGACAATAGGATGTGTGCCTAGGGTGAGCCTCTAACAGATGTTGCAACCATACAAATAAAATAATTGATTATAATATACTAAATAAAACTTGGGAAAGTTAAAAGTGTTACAAGAACATTACATTTTTTAAATAAATTATGAAGAATTTCTCACCCAAATTTACTCAAGATTGCAGCAAATTTTAGGAAGTTACGTTGACAGATGCACGTCAGGATCACGCTCGAAACACGAACACCTGCAAACTAAAATCAAAAGAAACGAGCACCAGCCTGGCTGACTGGCACCACAGGCACCAGCAGGCGACGTGTTCGGTTTGTTTACTTTTTGCAAATTTTTACCGGTTACAGATAACCACAAAATAAACTGGCGTAAAAGTCCAAGTTGTTTGAAAAATTTGAAATTGAATAAAATAAAATCAGGCTCAAAACTAGTTTGATTGCTATTTAATTCCAGATTACAGTCTAATTAAACAAAATTGTGAAAAATTAATTCCATAGAAACCGGTTTCTTACCTTTCAACTAACCGGTATTACACCCACGTGATGTATGTGGGCGTGTTTTGCATTAGACAGGCAAAACAAAGAAAGTCGAAAAATTTTCAACCCTTTTACATTATTATGGTATGCTAATGCAATTGACGCGGTGCTGGCATTTTCCACACACAGATGAATCACACAGCGTAGATCATATAGGCGCTGCGGGTCGAAAATTAATTCACGTGACCTGACCGCTATAATTGCCTGCTTCAAACCATACGAGAACAACTTCATCAACTCCGAGTACTACTGCTTGAGCGTGTGTTTGTTAGTTCGGAGCTCTCCGTTGGATTTTGTGGGTAAATTAATTACGCCCAGATAAATTTTACGAGGATTTAAATATAATTCATTTGTCATTGATTTTTCAATCATTTAGATTTATTGGCATGTTAAAAATTACAACGATTTGTAAAAAAATTATTCAGACAATAATTAATTAGAAAAAAATATTTTTCTCTTACATTAAATTAATTCAGTTATTAAAATTTTTAAAGATCAAATATACAATGTAATAATTTTTCAGGCTTTTTACTAAAATGGAGGCAGAAGAAGCTCGGTCGGATCAGGTATTTTTAACTTAAATTTTGTATTTAGAAATACAATGACACAAAATAAATCCTATTTCAGCCTCTAACGATGAATGGCCAAGAAGCAGGGGGCGATGAAGATATTAATGCGCCATTACTTCCAGTAGACGAAGAGCCGCTTTTCCCCGTCGCCTGCAATGTGAGAAAAATCACCCAGTTTCTTGCGTGTCTGTCTGTCACCTGCGGAGCTTTCTGTCTTGGAACAGTTTTAGCCTGGACGTCTCCTGTTGGCGAGAGACTGAAAAAGGGTGATTTGGGATTTCCTGTAGGTTTTTGCAAATTATAATACCAGACAAAGTATTAAATAAAAAATTCCATCAGATTTCACAAGCCCAGCTTGGTTGGGTGGGCTCCTTGGCCGGATTGGGAGCAGCACTGATGTCACCCATTGCAGGCCAACTTGTCGACAGACTTGGCCGAAAGGCATGCATGATTGCACTCTGTGCACCTCTGTGCGCAGGGTGGCTCTTGGTTGCATTTGCCAAGAACCCTGCCATGCTGTACAGTGGGCGACTTATCTCTGGTGCAAGTGGTGGCGCCTTCTGTGTTGCCATCCCAGTCTACGTGTCTGAAGTGGCCCATCCTGCAATGCGAGGTGCCCTGGGCTCACTTTTCCAACTCCAGGTTGTGATGGGCGTTGAAATGGCTTATGTAATCGGCCCATTGGTTAGCTTAAAAAATTTTATGTTTCAAATAAACTTAATAAATTATTTTTTTACAGGTTCCTGTGTTCTGGCTGTCAGCAATATCGGCTATCCTGCCAGTGGTGGCAGCAATGGCCATTCTTGTTTTTGCGCCAGAATCGCCATCATATTTACTTCGGAGAGGCAGACTTAATGCTGCTCACGATTCACTCCAGTGGCTCTGGGGCAACGATTGCGATTTGAGAAGAGAACTCAACGAGATGACCAGACAAAGTTCAACAGGTAAATCACAGCGAATTTTCTTTTTAAATTAATTACATTTTTTTTTTATTTGTGATTTTGCAGAACGATCCATTTCGATAAAAACAGTTTTCCTTCAAAGAGCCACTTTAATTGCTGTTGGTAAGAGAAAATTAATTTTCCATTTGAGGATTGTTGGCAGAGATTTTATTTTCCTTTTAGGCTTAATGGCGTTCCAGCAGTTCTCTGGAATCAACGCCGTCGTCTTTTACACAGAAGAAATATTTGCCGCTGCTGGAGGCTCGGTGCAGGGAGCAACAGCGGCTGCCATTGTCGGAGCTGTCCAAGTGGCCGCCACCTTCCTCTCATTCCTGATAGTGGACAAAGCAGGTCGACGGCCGTTGCTGCTTCTCTCAGGCGCTGTGATGGCCGCTTGCTGCACCACCCTGGGTGCCTTCTTCTTCTTCAAGGACAGAGGCCAAGACCTATCGTCCCTAGGCATGCTGCCAGTGCTCACAGTCTGTCTCTACTTTGTTGTTTTCTCTCTCGGATTCGGACCAGTGCCTTGGCTCATGTTGGGAGAACTCTTTGCCCCAGAGGTCAAGGGTGTTGCTGGCTCGGTGGCCTCGGCGACCTCATGGTGGCTCACCTTCGTGGTTACTGCACAATTTGAGCCCGTTGTGTCTGCCATTGGCGAAGGCCCCACGTTTTGGTGCTTTGCGAGTCTCACAACTATAGGAGTGCTGTTTGTAGCCCTGTTTGTGCCAGAGACCAAAGGCAGGACCCTGGAGCAGATCCAGACTAGTCTCAACTCACCCAGTTAAACTTTTGCAAAACATCAAGAAGGTAATAATCATTTCCATGACTTGTAAGGGGATAGACTACAACTTTTAATACAATCATAGTAGGGAAAGATATATTTTAAAAGTAAAAATGGGATCTTATGTCTATAATTTTAAAGGGTCTTATATATTTTGCAAAGACTGCATGACTCATTGAGAAACGACCAGCTTTATGATAGAATAGTTTGGAATAGTTAATAGGTTTAATAGAAATCTGTACTTTGATTACTCTGATTGCCTCGTTTCAGATTCAAATCATGCATTAATAATTATTGTTGCCTGAAACCCGCTAGGAGAAACATTTTAATACTGAAGATTACATAAATGCAAATATTTAAAGTGATAATATAAAATTTTCGTCGCAATGACAAGAAGTGTATGTCATTATTCATGTTTGCAAGAGGCTGTGGCTCCTAATCACAATGATTGTGGTAAATGGGGATGGGGCTGTTACATTACAAAATTATCAATATAATAATAATAATTATCAATATGCTTTATAATAAAATACGGGACAATTACAATAAAGTAATCTTTGATGTGTAAACGCAATAATGGTTCTATTTTTAAATTTCCAATTCTCTTAATGTGGAAATAGTGAAAGTAGGCAACCGGCAAAGAAAGCGTGAACAGCAGGTTGCATAACTCGATACTTCTAGGCGCTTTCCTTTGCATGAATAGAATATCATGATATAAAATATTTTTGAACTGCTGTAAAACAAAAAACTTCTTTTATTTAATATTATTTTATTGAATAGTGTTCTGTTCTTCATAAAATATTTCTGACGTTTTTTAAGTCAAAATCTTTTAGCATGTCATAGTTCGATGCGCAAAATATTTAGATGTGTTTTGTAGTGCTTCCTTCTCAGAATATGGAGGCGCGTAGTTGAGACAGATCGCAGCCCTGAGGCCGTTGAAATACGCGACGCCACCAAAAATACACACTAAAGCGGTGGGATGAACGGGCAATTTTCCACCCACCACAGTAGTCACTTTTTCAATAGCCCAAGCAATCGGCAGTGAAGCGGCCAAAGGGAGCCAATAGTAGGAGTCTTTTATGACGTCAGGGCCCAATATTTTCTTCATTAAGTCAAATGGATGTGGCACCAAAGTGTCGTCAGTGACCAAAACAGGCAGACCGCATGCCGACAAGTTTGGATTGGTAATAGGCTCTGCTTGAAGCGAATCTTTGGCTCGAATAAACGCCCATGCCGCATTGCCTGCAATTAAATGTTTTAAAATATTTATCATTGGCTGTCAAATTTTATAAAAAAACCTGCATAAGTGAATTGCATTTTGCAACCTGGCCCACCAGGTCCTTGCATGTCTATCAAATGTCCTTTGAGGGCTGAGGCCGCCTTGATAGCTGCGTTTGTGAAGCGTGGTTCCAGTTCTCCATATAAGAAAGTTGGCCGCAGAGCTGTGACCCTCAAACGGTCTTTACCTAAAAATTGAAATTATTATTTTTCTCTAATTTTCTGCCCTTTTTAAAAATTACCATTTGACAAGTAAGACATATTTTCTGATAGTACTAATTTTTCTGCCCTTAATTTTGAAGCAGCATAAGGTGGCAGTTGATCAATGTAGTGAGGTGGATCAGCTCGGTGCTCAGGAAGTCCCACGACCATTGGAAAAGGTCCCATACGAGGTCTCAGAGTGACCTCCGCTGTGCTACAATGTACCAAAATGGGCACATTTTCTTCCTTGCATAGGTCAATAACCGTTTGTGTTCCTATGAATTCCATAAAATTGTATATTAATCAAGTTCAATAATCGCATTTTTAAAATTATATCAGAATGGAAATAAATTACCTTCCAAATTAACTCTATGCAATTCATCAGCATCAGCAGGAAAGGAGTAGTCAACGAAGGCGGCCAAATGCATTACGCACGTCGCACCCCTAAACGCGTGCCGCGCCGCTTCTTTGTCACAAATGTCAGCAACAAAGCTCTTTACTGGCACTTCATTTATGAAATCTAATTTCAAAATTATATTTCAGAATAAAACTGCAAAAAAATTTAAGTTACTAACCCAACTTATTAATATAAGGCACTAGATCCAAAATTCGAATTTCGGTCAAATTATTTCCATCTCTCATTTCCAATTCTCTAACCAAGTGCTGGCCAAGAAAACCATTACCTCCTTTGAAAAAAATAACAAATTTACGGATACAGGAAAATCGTGAAACAAACTAACCTGTTATTAGAACTACGTCTTTTCTGCTTTCCCTCCTCATTTCAGGAAAATTAATTATCAACTTTTTGTCTCTAGCAAGAGCAAATTGATTGAAGCGCGGCTTATCACCAAATGAGATTTCTGTTTACTAGAGCTACTATTAAATGCTGCTGTGGTAATCACTTTCATTGCCCTCACTTTCTTTTGACAAGTTATAAAATAGGTGCCGTGGCCTGTGTTGCTACCTGTAGTCTGTCGAGCGCCTCAGGGAAGAGCCACACAAAAATAGCCAGAAAAACATAACATGTTTATAAGCACGTTCACATAAAATAGATTGTTTTTCGTAATTTTGAGCTTCTTAAATGCAGGTTTTTCCATAAGTCACAAGATTATAATATCAAGAAGTTTATTATATATAATTCATTCCTTTAAATAAGATTTTGATAATTTTTTGGGAAATAAAATAAATCTTACTATTTGAAGAACAAAAACAATTTAACAATTATTTTCCTTAGATTTATTACAAAATTTCAATTAACATTATTTAACTTACATCTTACATTACAGATCACAGTCATGCATTAATTTATACAATAAAAAGCAACAAGGCTCTATTTTAACAGCAATTAGTTTGGAAAAAGAGCAAAATTTTTGTATTTAACCCTTCTTAATCCTAATTCATATCTTCATATGGTACTTGAAATCGAAGCATTTTTCAGCATATTTGCAAAATGAAACTAAACGAGAGTGTGGGAATTCCCCTAAAAAAAGTTGAGAGGGCTAATTTTCTATTCTGACGAAAACGTTTACACTTATCAATTGTGTGTCTTTGTTTAGAAAAAAAGCGTAATTTTTTTCACTGGACAACAGGACAAGAGACTCAGAAAGTTGTTTTCTCCATTGAGTTCAATTTATGCCACCAAGTGACTCCTCTTTCAACTATTCTTTTTATTTAAAATCTGAAAAGCTCTAACCTTCTTTCCACTGTTTGTCTATTCAGCTCCAAATAATACCGAACTGGATAATTTTACCACTTCTCAATTCCGATTCATCTTAAGTAGCTAAATTGGCGACACTCAACGGTGGTCAGGTGGCCTAGATCAAGAGTGATGGCTCTTTTCTCTGCCGGCGAATGAATTTTTATCTGACGCATGTGCGTGTCTCTGCCATTCTGGTGATTGGTAATTACTGCAATTTGGACCATGAAGGTGCGAAGAGGGTTGTCATGAATGTCTTTGATCGGAATCACAATCCACCCACTTGGCTCCGTCAATTCCACCACTTCGATTTCCTATAAAAATTCCAATTTTTTTTTTTTATTATATATGGAATAAATCTACTGCGCTTCTTGCCTGTAAATCGTTGAAATGTGTGCCTGCTCTGATTGAAATTCGACTGGGCGTGTAGCTTTCGTCCAGTTTGTAATCGGTGTAGATGCAAATGTCCTGGACGGTTGTTTTCTTTCTGAATTGGACGTTGACAAGATGAGGCAGCTGCCCGTCTGACTGCCAGTAGGTATCAACGCAATCGTCGCGTAGTTGGTCAACACCGAATCCTGGTTTGCAAGAGGACAAACTCCAAATGGCTTGCGATCCAACTTCGCGAATATTTTTGGAGAATTTTTCTGAAAATTTCAGCACACATTACATTTTTAAAATTAATTGGCCGATGATAGACATGATACGACAAATTAATTCCTGAATATAAACATAACAGGAGGAAATAATACTATATTTAAAATATACTTAAATAATATTATGAGCACTAAATATTGCAAACATACAAACCTAATGCAATCTCCAGCGATTCATTCGCCTTGTTTGCAGCCATTTTCATAGGAATTTGTTGAAAATTAGCTGATTACCACAATATAGAAAAATTTCTGATAGTCTTCAAGGCTTAAAAATTTATCAATCTTGTGTAAGAATAAGACAGATTTAAGTTAAATTAATAAAATTTTCTGAGCCCGTGTTGATTTGTTGATAAATTTGATTCGAATCTGATCAGCTGTACCGGGATGCACATTTTAAGAGTAGCCAACCAAAAGGTTTTAATGGATTCAGTAAAAATAATCGAAAATAGTATAAAATGGCGAAAATTATTTCCCAGAAATAATTTTTACATTAATATTTAATTTAAAATTTTTTTAAGGATTATTCACGTTGAAAAACTCTGTCCACGAAAATTATTTTCAAAAAGTGGGTTGGCCTCCTTGATAAATATTCGCGGCTGGCGGCAAGAAATTGGCGAAAACTGGAAAATCGTAGAGGAAGTTCCATTTCATATATTTTTTTTCTGTTTTTAGCCATACATATTAGCGAGTTTTATATAGATTAACATGCAGATAATAATTGACCGGTAAGTGTTGTCATAATCATAATCGTTGGAATTTTACAGATTATTTTACACATGTAAATCTCTATCACTCTATTCGTGTGTTTTTGTTTTGACTACATATGTATTTTTGAGAATGAGCATAATTGGCCAATGTTATTAAAATATTTTTTTATTTTTCTAGTGTTGGAACTGGAAAAATTCCTGAGTGGTCTATAATTGAGCTTCAAGGAGACCTCCAGAATAATGAAACAACAGCCTCGTTTCACGGAAAAGTGATTGGGGACTTGCATTACAATTTAGAGGTATTTATGACTGTATTATTAGTTATGAAACACAATTAAAAATAGTCTTTCTATTATTTTCTGTTAATTAAAACATGACTATATTTGTGATTCGCCAATTTTCTCAACAGGGAGAGCCCTTATTAATTATTGGCCACCATGTCCTGACAGGAAGATTAGCAAAACTAGAAAAGCCTTTGGCTATTTTGAAGAAGAAACCAAAAGATGATGAGTTTGAGGTGACGGAGTACCAGGTTCAAGGAATGGTGGTGCAAAAACTGCTGTTCAGTGAAAGGCCTCGGCCAATTGTGGATAGCACTGAAGCAATTTTTGTCAAGTGAGATGCTCTTCATATTGCACTTTCTCTTAATACTTCCACTTTTGTACTATATAAAGGCATTATTTGAATTAAATAAATAACTTTAAATGCAATCAATTAATTTGCTATTGAGCACAATTTATTATTTACTATTTCTTGTTGTCATTTGCACGGTATTTGAAAATAAATGAATATTAATTTGACATACGAGAGAGCATTTTAAGCTCTTAAAATTTGGCAAACAAGAAAAATGTTTAAAATGCAAATTAAAGCAAACTGAAAAATCACAGCTGGCTGACAATTTATGAGCTCAGTCTGAAAAAACTAGACCGTCTTGTTCGTTAGAGTGCAGTTGTTCTATCGATAAACTGAGCTGTTCCAAAGCACCCATTAGCCGGTCGAGGTTCTCTTGTCCTGACCGCAAACCTTCGTCACTCAACGGAGCATATAATTCTTGCTGTGCTCCAAGGTCAAAGTGCATTCTTGCGAGACGTTCTTGCTGTTCTCGAATAGCCTCCATTTGTTCCATGCTACAGTCCTGACCTGTAGATAGGAAGACACAAATAATGAGCAAAAACGCAATTGAGAAAAACAAAAGCTTGCCAAGCAAACATTATTTTCAGATTAGAGGTAGCTTGATTAGTTGAAAAGTATGTTTTGCTTACCAAATGCTCTCAGTTGTCCAGAATGGAAGTCTTCCAGCAGCTTCAGCAGAGCCTTTTCCATGCCCCGCACATCAGCAACATCTGAGAGAAAACAGTGGTGCTGCAGAGGTCTCACCACATTACCAACTAAATAAGCAAACAAAAAAAGAACGGCAAAACTAAATTACGAAACTAAAAATGAACAAAATTAGTAACAAAAAAAAATTGCAAATAAAATGCTAGTTAAATTATAGTCATAAAAAATATCAAGCGGCTAATAGTTGTTTATGGGAACTATATAAACATTTTTATAAATACCAAAACCAAAATTGACCTTACCCACACTTTCTTTTGCATGCCAAAAATAAAAATTTATTAACTGCCCAAACATATAAACAGAAAAAAATGTGAAATAGTTGTAAATGGTGCTAATGCATTTCATAGTGAATTGTTAAACTGTGTCACACAATGAATGATCATAAAAAAGTGCGCCATACCCTTTCTTGGCTTGTGCATTCTGGCTGCAGATCGAACAGAGCCTTGCCGAGTGTCCAAATTCTTGTCTCTGCTCTCAGACTTTTCATTAACATAAACCACTTTTGTCGTCATTGCGGGCATTGGAGTTTGACTTTTTGCTTCTCTCGATGGCTGCAATTCCTAATAATCGAATGAAAGTGAAACCATATTAAAAATAAATTTACATCAGGCTGTTATTTCATTATATATATTATGATGTAGCAATAATGTTAAATGCTGAGCAAGGACAAAAGGCAAAAATTGTTTACCTTTGCTGGACTGCTCGAAGATTTGTTTCTCATTCTTGCTGGGGGCATGACAGGTGGAGGCGGTGGTTGATCTTCCCGTTCTGGAGAATCCTCTTCGTCGGCCTCAGTAGAGAGCATCAACTGGCGCAATTCGCACTCCTCCCCCATCATGATAAGGGGACAATACTCCTTTATGCACTCTTGAGATAACAAAAGTCCAGCAACTTTAATCCTGTTTGATAAAATTTTCAATTAGTATTCACTCTTGAACATTTTGTTTGTTTTGTTAGCATATTGATTGATATTGATGGATGAAGATTAAATAATGCATATGCAACAACATTAATTTTCTATGAAGTATGAACTTAAAAAAAGACAAATATCGTTATTAGAGAAAAAAAAATTTAAAAAAAACTTCAAATAATGAAGGGGATGAATAAGTGTTAAAAATTTACAAACGTATTTACTGTAGTGAATTGCAATATTTTAAATTTCAGCTTGTGTGTTTATCTCTGTGCAAAAAGTCTTGATACACGAATGAGCTCAAATTAATATAGCTTATGTATTTAAATTTAATTCATTGCTACAATTCTTTTGAATGTAGTTAGACCAATGGATGAGCCATTTATTAATGATGGCGCCTTCTTTGGCTCCGTGGCGCCGTCAAGTCTCTGCGCCCCCTTGCTTTTGGACACACTTTGAGCCCGGTTCGCACCTGCTGGGTCAACATCGCCTAGCCAGCCTTGTCCGACCGTACACGGTGCAGATCTCAGCAATATTTAAAGGCCTCAGCTCTCTACCGGGTATTTTCTAGAGAGAAATTCCTTTGACACTTGACATAAGTGCAAAAAATACTTTTTTAGTGAATCAGCTGAATTTCAATCTGACCAATAGAACTGAAAAAATATACCGTAATGCTGCCGTAATGTTATTTTTAAGTTTTATATTTTTCACCAAATAAATCAATTTTAATCTTATACTTATTTTTTTATAATTTTTAAAAATTAAGATAATTAAATTTTTGTAAAAAAATTATCATTTTAAACGGATTTATTTTATTTTATTGACTTCTTGAACATTATTATGTTGGCAACAATGGTACTAGGCTAGCTGTTTTGCGGGAAAACCTTGTAAACACGATTGATGTTTGTGAAGTCGCACCTTCCAGCCTTTCCGGAGTTCAGCTGAGCCCATTTTCCAGCCACTTCCACTGCCGAATCGTTTTCCAGCAGCTCTAATCTGTCGGGAACCGTACCTCGTTTACATAAAGTGAGCAAACGCCCCTGAAAGGTCGCCCGAGAGGCCTTTCTGGTGACATCACAAAACAAGGCCACAGTCTCCCGTTAGTTCACGGTTGTACTTCTTACTTGCGCCTTGATTGCGAGGCTTCCGGACCTCCGTTTGGCCTTATCAATCAAAAGGTCCTCTTCAAGCTTCCCTGTGATTTCTGATCAGGGCGCCATAGTTAATTATTTAATCTCCCTGTAAGCCTGCAACCTTCACCTTGGTCTGTAGCCTAGTTACCTAGATTGCAATTTTCTTTTCGCCAGGAAGTTCCATATTTCACGAAAATGCGAATTCTTTACTTCAAAGTTTTAAAATGAAAATCATGTCTTATTTATATCAACCTTTGTTTTCAGCGGATACCATGTCTGTGTTGAACCAGAGTGGAGAGGAGCCAGTAGAATGTCCTCTGTGTATGGAGCAGTTGGAGGTGGATGACCTCAACTTCCATCCTTGCACCTGCGGTTACCAGGTAATATCGTTCAGATTTTAATTAAATAAAACTGCCTTGCCTTTTTTTTTGTCATTTTTTAAAATAATTTCAAAATTTTCCCATAGTTCAATTATATATATACACTCGCCTCAAACTTACCGAAATAACAAATTTTTTCTTCAAGATAAAATTAATTGAAAGTGTCAATAAAATAAAAATATTAGTAACAAGTGTTTTCTTTCTGTAGATATGTCGGTTCTGCTGGCATCGGATAAGAACCGATGAAAATGGGCTGTGTCCAGCATGTCGTCGGGCATACTCGGAAAACCCAGCGAATTTTCGACCTCTAACCACTTCTGAGGTGCAGCGGCTGAAGGCTGAGAAGCGAATGCGAGAGCAGCAGAGGAAGCAGAAGGTGATTGAGTCTCGGCAACATCTGGCGGCTGTGAGAGTAGTGCAGAAAAACCTGGTATTTGTTCTTGGTTTGCCTGCAAGACTGACTGACGCTGAGGTAAGTTTTCTGCTATTTTCTTCTCTTTCCACCTGCATAAAATTTTGTCCCTCCAGGTTCTTAAAAAGCACGAGTACTTCGGCAAATTCGGGCGCATACAAAAAGTGGTGATAAACCAGAGTACCTCTTATGCTGGAACTCAGGTAATTGTCTGTTTAGGGATTTGTGCCGGGATATTTATTCAATTTAAATTTATCAGGGTCCAAGTGCAAGTGCGTATGTCACATACCATCGAAGTGATGATGCCCTGCGTGCAATCTCGGCTGTCAACAATACCCTCGTAGATAGCCGCTCGCTCAAGGTATCGCTTGGTACCACCAAGTATTGTTCCAACTTTCTAAAAAACCAACAGTGCCCTCGAGCAGAGTGCATGTACTTGCACGATTTAGGTAATTTCATTGGTCTTGTACTCTAAATCAACTGACATGGAATAACTCAGGTGACTCCGAGGCAAGTTTCACTAAAGAAGACATGCAACAGGGCAAGCATCAGGAATACGAAAGAAAGCTTTACGACCAGATGTTAATCAATACTTCTAGTAATCAAGTCAGAGAAAGGTTTGCCTTGTTTTCAAATGTTTACCCACTTGTTCTGATTTTTGGAAAAAATTTTACAGCAGCAGTGATAATCCACCTAAAGCTACTGTCACGGCACCTGCAGCTCCTGCCTGGGGAATTAATAGTACAGAGGAGCCGTGGCCCACGCTCAGTGAAGAGCTAGAGGAGAACAGTGTGCCCCCTGCTGCAGATAAAAAGAAAAAAGAAGCAGACGAACCATCAAAGTGTGTACCTGCTTAAGTTTTTTTCTCAGTTGATAAAATAAACTTTATTTACAGGAGTCGCAGGAAAAGAAAAGGCAGGTCAAGAGGCAAGCATGGTAGTAAAAAACAAGCTTCCGAGTCAAATGGAAGAGAGCTTTCACCGTCCCCACCACCAAACGATAGCTCTACGGGTCATAATAGCGATAGTAGAAATGGGAATGTGCAATCATTACAAAAATCATCATCACTTTCATCAAGCACATCATCAATTTCTGATGATGCTAATGGAAAGGAAGATGCTAAAGGTCTGAATGGAAATTTTTTTGATGAACACTAATTCAAAGTTTTCTTGAAATAGATGAAGATTTGCAGCATGAAACTGTTCAAGTTGCCACAGAAACCTCTCCTCCGCCAGTTAATTTAAGTTCAGAGAGTTTTGATTGGCAAACCGCTTTTGGATTCAAGTCAGAATCTTTAACAAATGGTAAAATTGTGGCTTGATATGCATGCTAAATTATTAATTTTATTTCAAATTGATTGAAGGATCTAAAAACATGACTTTGTGTGATGAAGACGAGGAAGACGATGATCTGGGTTTTGATCCTTTTGCTGAAACCCAGAAAGGATTGGCAGAATTAATGGAGAGCGAAAAGAAGCAGCAGCAGCAACATAGACTTCAGCAGAGCAGGTCCATGACGACCATTCAGCAGCAGCAGACAACCACCCTTCAGCAGCTTTTCCGGGCCTCTGAATTGCACCGGCACACCTCCCACCTAGATCTGCCTTACGAAATTGATGCTAGGCCACCGCCACCACCTGGTTTCAACGGACCATCTCTTCCCTTCAACAGGCCGATGCATCAAAGAAGTTAGTACTGCTTTCTTTTGAATTTAAAAACTTACTTTTAAAATTTTCTCAGCAAATGAAGTGGGTCATCATGCTGACCTTGGTACTATGGAAAATGCGTCTTCGCCTTTTAGCCGGATTTTGGGAAATAAAGATATTAAGCCACCTTCCCAACCAAATTTTAGCTTCTCTGATTGGCAGGCACTTTTGCCTAATCTGGGAAGCAGTTATTTAAACAATGGTGCCCATCGAAGTACTCCTGCACAGCAAAGACGTAAGCCCACGTAATTTGTCATTCTGGTGTCTTTTATTTAAAGAAAATGTTCAACTCCAGCTGTTCAAAATGATTGGACCGCTATGGATCCAGCTATAATGGCAGCAAGTGCATGTCCAAGAGCTGAGCCTAGCTGGGGTCTCATGGAGCAAAACAGTCTCTTCCCGTCCAGTAGCTCGCGCACAAATCTAGGTATAATGCTTTTTGTTTTTTGTGCTCAAGTAGTAAGTTGTGATTTTTTTATTATTCATTAGGCTGGCCTGGCAAACTGGCTCCACCTCCGGGTTTCTCGCGACCATTTTAAGAGGATCCGTAAGAAGCAAAAGGTGCCTTGACCAGAAAGTGCTGCCCAAGTTAAGGCCCGTTTGTCTTGTCCTGGATTATCCTGGCCCTGCCGCGAGTATTTTTGGATTTCATATATTGATTACGAGAAGTGAATTCTCCTTGTTCCCTTTGATGAGAAACCAATGCAATACAATAAATCATGTAATGTACACATTCATTATCGACCAATATTGAAATTATTGAAGTTTTCCCTGCAGTTAATGAAATTTTCATTAAATGATAAATCATCTTTCATTTGGAAGTTTCTAAAAGCTTATTTTATTATCAAGATTTAAAACAAAAACTGCAACACAGTACTTCATGAGAAACATTTCTTTATGTGCAAAAGTATAATGGTGGCTTAGATAAAAAAATCGAGCTTAAAAATAATATCAAGAGCATACCAAATATCATTTTCCAGGATTGGTATTCATTCTAAAATGCATAATTATGTTAAGAGAAGCATCACGTTAAGGAATCATGTAGTTCATTTTTCATTTACTTCATTGGGGTGTTGTGCTTGTTGTGAGAGTCTGGTGTGTAAGTGAAGAGTATTCCAAGCACCCAGATATGGAGAAGCAGCTGAAATTATAAATTTTATAAAACCATTAAACTCTACTTGCATAACAGTTTACCATATAGGCAATAAGACAAATTTTTGCCAACGGGTGACGTCTCATCAAAGAACCAGCTAGAGAATCAAATGTTGAATATGCTCTGCGCACCCTTCTGCTCATCCCAGAGTCAACAAGCCTTTCTCGAAGAAAACCAGACATCATTCCTGCTTTGGCTGTAAAATTTACGTGAATTGGCTTATTGTTAGTGAAACGTTTATTTTTTAATATGGGTTTTCTAACCATCGTCAGTTGTATTCATATCGCAAGCTATCATGCCTGAGCTGTAAACATGTGCAGATTCTCGCAGCCGCAACTATATAATAGGAATATTGTAGTGAGCTATTAAAAATTTGAATCAGTTTACTTCTGTTTTTTCCAGCTGCAACCTCATCGCATTTCTCTCCGCAGTCAAAATTTCAACAGCCTGCTGCTTTTTAACTAGAGTTGCCGTCAAGCTTCGCACCTTATTGTCTAAATCAACCATCTACAAATTATATTTTAGTTAACCAAGAATGAGAGAGAATTATGTTAAATACATAGTCTGAATTTATATCAGGTTGCGTGGGTCTGCTTGGGGGCTTTGACACCTGAGCCGTTTTAAGTTTGTCGCATTCGTGGCTTAATCTAACCACTTCACTCCTCTGTCTATCCAATTCCTGTTAAATAAATTTATTGAGGTGGTCTAGGCATTTTTAGGTGAATAAATTAACCTCTTTGTAAAATATAATTTCGTGCTCGGCTGATGTCAATGTTTGTTTTGTTACATCCAACGATGCCTGCACCTCATTCAAAGCCCTCGCTATCTGCGTTTTCTCCTCTTCCCTGAGAGACAATTCTGCCCTAACAGCCGATAACTGGTTGCTAACCTCTTCATTTCCTAATCTGCAAAAATATATATTTAGCTTAAGCACCAAATTTAATAGGAATAGAGCACCTCAACAATTTAATTTCCTCATTTTCCAGCTTGTCCTCTTGCTGCAGCTCTTGTTCAGTGGGCTGATGGTCTTTCAACCTTGCAATTAGAGTGTCCTTTTCACTCAAGACACTCTGCGCTCGAGTCCTGTATTTTTCAAAGTTTTCTCGCAAAGTGGTTAGCTCTTGCTGAACTGCATTCAGCTCCATGCCCAGCCTAGCATTTTCTTTTGACAGTGTGCTGGTGGCTGCTTCGTGGTCCTTGGATAGTTTGGAGAGTCGTTCAATTTCGGTCGACAGCTCAAAGTGTGACTCTGATTTTAAGGCCCTAAGCTCAGTCAAATCCTTGCTCAACTGCTGAGCTTCGCTTCGGGACGTTTGCAAGGCAAGTTCGTACTCCGTGATTTTTGCTTGACGAGAAATTAATTCCTCTTGGTCTGTATTAATTAAAGGATTAGGAACATAAGAACCTGCAGCAAAATTATGGTACCCCTTTCATGCTGCTTCACCCTTTTCAATAACCTGGACACCTCTAGATTTAAACTCTCAATTTCTGACTTTAGGAATGTGTTTTCTGTTCTCATCGCTGACGAATGCTCCCCGTCAACACTATCCGGAATGGTGATGCTTGTACTGGTTAAGGTTTTTTTTTTTTATTAAATTGTGATATAATTTAATATAGATTAAATTTTTACCTGGGGCTTATTTGGTCGCTGTCAAAGTTTGAAGAACCATTTAAATATCTCATTATCTCCTCATCCTCGCTCACTTTTTTCTTTCGAGTAGCTTTCAAAGAGCTACTTTTTGTGTTCCTCAGTTGCGACAAAGTGGTTCCTTTCTTTGGAGTGGAGGTGCCACTTCTATTTTTGGAGATTGTTCAAATTATTATACTTGAATAATAATTCAAAAATAAATTACGGTTGTGGTGGCGAGAACAGAGCTCCGTCAGGCAGGGTTTCCGACCCAATCTCAGCTGGAACGTCGACGGCAACGGCCCTCGAGGGTGCATCAGCAATATTCAGAGCTACAGCAGCATTCTTGTCCAGCTTTTCCAGCATTGACTCTGCCTTGCTGGCAATTTCCGTAAACCAAGACATTTTTCAAACTAAAATTTACAGAATGAAGTAGATTAAATTCTATGATCAAGCAGTAAATTTGCATTTTATAGTAAAAAATTAACAATATTATACCTCTTGCCTGAGTGAATTAGATTTATTAACAAGGACAAGCACAGTCCATTCTTAATCTTTATCACAACGATAAATCGGTGCTTAGGTCGAGTTGTCGAGTTGTCATTTTTTTGTTTTCTCTTTTCTCCATTATTTTTGTACGGCCAGCTGTGAGAGGCGAATTTGCCAATTTAGCCAACCCGCACATGTATATAATATCTCATGATAACCAAAATCATTCTTAATTCCGATATAAAATAGCGATTTATAATTTTTATTTTACCATTTTAATATACATTAAAAATATTTTTAACATGAAATATATTATTTTTCATAAATTATAAAAACCTAAGAATGGATTTATGTTGGTAAATTACCATGGCCTTGAGTTTGTTGCATCCATCTCTCAGATTTTTGACTTGTCAATACAATCGAGGCCAAAAGTCACCAAAATAGAACAATTATTCCAGTCGTGTGACCTTACCGGTCAATCAAAGGGCTGGAGGACCTGCCTTTAACCATGACCATCCTCCAGTCGATGGTTTTCGTCACCTTCACGCTTCTCTTCGCCTCTGGAACACCAGCCAGCAATGAATCTGGTTTGTTCATGGCCAATCTTTTGCTCATATCTGAAACGTATTAATTATAATTCAATCGATTTTTTTTTGCATTTGCAGCTGAACAATCAATTGTGAAGTGTCCACCGATCGAACTCTTTCTGGACAACACCTTGCAGATGCAGATTCGGTTCGCCAACGAGGGTGTCCTGGACCGAGCTGTCTTTTCCTGCTTGCCTGGTTATCACTTGTCAGGACAGCAGGAGGCTACCTGCCAATTCGGACGCTGGAATCTTGAAGATTTTCCTTCATGCGTATCATGTAAGTATTACGCACACATTTACCTACTTAAAATCAAAAGAAATATTGTACCTTTAAAATTATGAAAACTGATTGTATTGTATTTTAAATTAATTTGTCAGGAAAATTATTTATAAATTATACCTATTGCTTTATAGATTGTCGTCAACCACAAGACATAGAGAATGGGGGCTTAGACATTGGTCAAGCTCCAGTTAAGGGTTTAGGCTACCCTAATGGCACTGTAGCAACATACTCTTGTGCGCCTGGCTACCAATTGGAACCAAGTGGTGCCTCTGGCAAAAAGGTTTGCCTAAACGAAATCTGGACCGGACAGTCTGTTACTTGTGGTAAGTTTTTAAATTCACTTGAAATCTATCAGAGTATATTTAAAATTTATTTATCGTTCTCATGTTTATCCTGCTGCAACTATGATATTCCTGAAAAAAAAATTAATCTAGTAATAATACACAAAAGATTTTTATTACTTTTTCGCGATTGAATTTGTATTACATTTATTTATTTAATCATTTTAAAATGAATTATTGTGCTTTTTGCGTTACAAATTTGCATATATATGCTAAAACGTTGGCTAATTTTATTTATTACAGTTAAAAAAGATGGCTGTGTGCTGGAAGGCACCCTTGTGGACGGCTACACGATCGTCGAAAATGAGAGTCTACACAAGGTGCGTTACGGCTGCAAAAGCGGCTACCACCTTGTCGGGCCCCAAGAGAGGAAATGTCTCGGCGGAATGTGGATTCCGCCCTACATGCCCCAATGCGCCAAGAAGTCCTTTCAGGGTGAGTGGAAGCAAACAACTTTTCTCTCATTACGCTTGAGCAAAATTTATGGACTCGTGACAGAGCACTTGGGAATAATCGGGAAATAGGCGTTGGTGGAGTTCGATCGTTAAACTCAATTAAAGCCGCTTGTCCCGCGCGAGAACGAAATTAGTTTGATTGCAAACTGGACTGCAAAATTTACAGTCGAGATTGGTATCGGGCGCGCGAAAAACGAGGCTGGCGCTCGGCTTTGACGCTAATCAGCCTGCTTGGGGCCTTCCGCGATTGAAACTTTTCTGCGCGCACCCACTTGAGTCGGGTAGCGGCAATTAATCATGCAAATGAGCCAGCGTGGAGATTTATTCCTCAATTATCGGTCGGCCGGGCGGGCGGCGGGCGTGGTCGGCGATGCGACACCTAATTATCGCTGCCTGCGCATCGAATTCAAATTCCCTGGCACCTGCAGGACACTTATCTGATCGCTAGAGCCATGTTTGCCGCCGATACTCTCCCGCCCGACCGACACCTTTTCGACTCTTTTTGCACCGCCAGATTAATTACTTTATTTCGACGCCGCTTTTTTCCATCGATCGTCGATAATATGCAAAGTTGGCTTTTGAAAATATTTATGTAATGAATTAAGAGCTCAGCTATCTTCTGAGATTCCTCATTTGAAAATTTTTACCGTAAAATTAAAATGAAGGGAAAGTAATCTTAAAAGGCTCATTAAATTTCAATTTTTCGCAATTTTCATTGCTGTTCATTAAATGTGCACATCGTTCTATAACAATTAAAGTCACACTTTTTATTGTTTAAGTTAATTTAACATTACATAGCAAACTCTAATTTATTATATTTTATGAGATAAGAAGTTTCTTCATAGAGCAGCTATAGAAGGTAATTAGATTTTAGTGAAAGGTGATGTTAATAACAGGTTAATAACATGAAGTATTACAATTTTTCATATAGAGAATTTATTTTTCAATAGAAAAAAAGTGGATTTTGCAAGTTCAGCCAGTTCAACAATTAGAAAAGAAATGAATTTTTATTGATCAAATAATCTATAATAATTGTTTTTTTAAGTATATGAAAATTTGGGAAGAAAAGAAAAATTTAAAAAAACTTGTGGAAAAAAATTATTTTTGTCTTGTTCAGCAAAAATGATGTTTTAACTCTTACATGATACCCACGAAACTGGAATTTTCTCGCTGCTTCTGATGTCTTATGTTCGGGTACTGTCAGCGCGAAAATTACCACTGGCTACTACAAGAAAATAACAGACATTATACACTGCCGGAGAAAATTTCACAAATAGACACATGATAAGAAAACAGCGGGCCCGGGGCTGATGGAATCGTGGCGAAAAGGAGACGCAAGAAGTGGAATACATTTTCTACAAAGCGAAATTTGCATGCGTGTTCCGAGGCTGGGTAGATTAATTAGCCGCGATTATACTTGCGAGTAACTCGAGGCTCGGCGGGTTTGTCAGCGCGACCGAAAATGTATAATGCTCACTCTCTGCGAATTCGCGCGATTGCGGCTGCGTTGATTAGCGCCCGAGAGAGCTGCCGGGCTGCGAAATCGACCGTTTAATTAGATTACAGATCGTGCGGACAGATACAAAGTCGAGCAAACGGACACACCTCCTGGACCAACATGTTAATTAGATTCGGCTCGCTCACCCGCGGATAATTAAACTGCGTGCGAATTTTAAACAAACATGCTCTCGCCCAGATAACACACTTTAATTAAATCATAACTGGAAGAGATAATCCAGCGATGATTCCTCTCGCCTGTCCGAAGAAACACAACCGCCTGTCCGATTTCGCTGCCAGCGGTGCTTTTTCGAAAAGAGAGAAGAAGAAGAAGGTGATACCGTTCTAGAGTTTCACCAGCCGGCTAATGGCGCGAGCTGAATCCGTGCACACTGAAATGTGATCCTTCTTTTTGCCGACGCGCCTGCAATCTCTTTGCAAACAAATCAAAAGTTAATTGCTGTGTACACAAGAGTTGGAATCCCAAACTGGTGCTAAGAATTGGTTCCCATTTTAATTATTTGTAATTCAAACTTCCAACTCAGAAAATTTAATTTTGCCTAGAAATTATTATTTTAACTATTTACCAAAGTTTTTATCAAAATTCAAAATGTTTTTGAGCGCATTGAATAGAAACAGCTTTGAATTTTCCCAATTAAAAGGAAATTTAAAAAAATGAACTTTATTGTTTGAGCAGTCAAAAAGAAAGGTCAAATTCTTCAAATATTTAAAAGCACCTCTCGATCTTTCACCCCTCGTTGCCTTTTTGATGCCGTTGAAGCCTGAATTGTATTCAGGCGCGGACTTTTAAGGATGCGCGATTTTGAGAAATGATTTGGGCGCGGGGGCACGAATAGTGTCTCTCGTCTCGTCACCCGGCAATTAGGATAATTGTGGCCGCGCTCAGGGTAATGACAACGGAGAGGAGCCTCCGTGGGTGGCGCGTCTCATGATTTGGGCAGGAAACGCGTTCGAAGAGGAAGAAATAATGAGATCCGTTTGGGTAACAAGGTGTGAAACACCGGCTAATGGCGCGTCACTCGCGCTCATTTGCATTGCCACACACGCAGTGACACGTGCAACATCCAAAGTCGTGTTTGTGTGAATTTATACATAGGAATATTTACTATCCCGATCAAACGCAAAACTCTCAGGATTTTATTTATTTTTTTACTTCTGCCATTGCGAATGGAATTACCATAATTTCGAAATACCAGCAACAGAAGAAAGCGCGACACTCGCTGAAATTAAGTAATCTTTGGCGACTTTTATAATAGCGGAGAAGGACACGACAATATTTCACAGCTGCGACCACAGAAGATAAAAGAAAACGTCAAAAGTCTTCCCGTTCATTAGCGGCTGAGTTATTCAAATTTGTGTGTATGTGTCCTTTCTAATTCACCACACAATGATAATTCAATTTAAAAGGCAATAAAAACACGCCATGGATGCAAATTTAAAATAAAAAATTGTGTGCGCAGAAAAAGGCGACACTTGTTTTAGCTTGTCTTATAAAAAAAAAACGTGTGCACACATTCATGCGCAGGGCGATATTTCACGCGTTATTGCGTGCCACTTTTCTTCAATCGCCGAGGTTTATATCTCCTTTCACCGTTGGGGCTCGTGTGACGTGGGTGGCCTGACGAGAGGCGGCCACGCGCCAGAAAATTTTGAAACTATTGATGGACATAATGTTTAAGCATTGTATATCAGTTAAAAATTAAGAGTGTTGTAAGAAAATTTCTGTCGTTAAATTTAATTTTTTTTAATTATTATTTTTTTTATTGTATTGAACGTATGTTAGTTGAATTGCGTGTCACAAATAGAGAAACGGTACGCATTAATTCAAGATTTGAGTAATTGGCCGTGTCTCATAAAGTGGCTGTCAAACGACAAACGTAAGGATTTAAAAAACGGCAACGATGGCAAAACGATGATAAAGTGCTGCCGCGCAAAATTCCTCGCTTGGCATTTTGCTCTCTGTGCTCAGTTACTTGCGTTGTTCCTGCGCTCTTTAGTGCTTGTCAAGTGAAATATTGAGGAGCTACTTGTTCAGCTGCGTGTCCTTCGTTGACTCCTCTATTTTGGCATTTTCACTGATATGTTCTAAAAATTGGCATAAAAAATGTTTCTGAAAATCTCCTAAAATCAATATTCTGAAGCAGCATAAAATAAATTGAAAAAAAAAGCTGTAAGCTTAATTATGACACGTGCAATTGTTTTTTATGAATAGTATTTTACTCCTATAGGAAATATTCAAACACAGAATTAAATGAACGCAGAAAGTCTGTTAAACATATATATTTTTATCGTAATATTTATTCCTCAAAATTTTTGTACAAGTTTTGGATTAAACGTTTATTTTGAATTAAAAGTTATGTCGGCGAAATTTTCAACGCACTGCGACGCTTTGATTATTTGGTGTCAGTGGGTTGTGAGTGGATTTTGGTGTGTCGCCGCCACTGTTATCGCCCCGCGCGCTGACCTTTCTTTTCTCTGTTTTGCTTTTTGCAAATGGCCCATACAGACAATGAAACACGTGGTGAACCCGGAACAGCAGCTTGACAAAACAAATGGCCAATTGCGTCAGGCGATTCAAACAATCACGCCGACTTTTTTGGCGGCCAAATAAATTTATATAGAAGATTCACTATAATTTGGTACCAGTGCACTGCTTGTTCACAAATTTCGTTTGCAGCTGGTTTGCAGGAGCCAAAATATAAATTTTGATAGAGACGATAGGATGAAAAAATCATTAATTAATATTTTTAATCAATAATTTTATATAATATCACTTGAAATAATAATATTTTGAAATAAAAAGATCGCAAAAAGACGCGAATTAAAGGATATCATGCGATGACTGATTCTGTGCCCAAATAAACTAGCTTCAAATATTGCAATAAAAATTAGTTCGTTGCGCATATTTGTAGTAAAATCAAAGTGAATTAATTTCCGATTTTTGTTTTTAGAACATTTTGATATTTTTAATAAAAATCCTGCATTAGAACCAAATTGAAATGGAAATAAAAAAGCATGCAACAAAAACAAGACACAAACCCATTTCATCTTAAATATTCACGAAATTCAATCTAGCAACACAAAGAGATTCCAGCAATTTTCACGTTGGCCGCATATTTAAACCGATTACATCTCACATCAAAGGATTTTGCGCGAAAATCTGCGAGTTTATTAAACAGCAACTGTTGGCGAAACGCTTGACGCCAATGATTAATTTGCCGCGTAGAAAGAGCGCGAGAGATGTTTTAAGATATCTCATTTGCATTCGCGACGTCCTGCACAAAATGTCAAGCGAGAGGGCGAGAAAGAAGGAAAGAAATTATGGTTTCGTCGTCGGCGTCCGCTTTCGAAAAGGCAGCAACTTTTAATTATAATTATATGCACTTGGCGCAAAGAATTCCTAGAGGATAGAGATCTTTGTGTTTCTCTCTCGGCACGTTTCGTTTTGTGTACCTGATGCGA